GCCTGCGATTGTCCAAGATGCTTGTAAAGAGCTTCGAGTGTGACTTGACGATCCACAAACGCAATGGGGTAGCCATGTCTTGGTTGTGGTCAGCGAGCATTGAGGTATTGATATGCAAGAAGGGTAGGTACCGGTCATGGATGACTTTTGGGGCGTTGTTCTTGGTGATAAGCGAGCCATTCTCTTTCCAGAAGTAGGAGTCACGAAGGGGCTCTGTAGCCTCTATGATGTCGTCGAAAACTCCCAACTGGTCCAAGATGCGCGCACCATTTGGAATGATTCCGATAGAAGCACCGACCTGCGGTGCAATCTCCTCATGGGCCTCCAAGACGACGAATTCCACCTGTTGTCGAAGTAGGCAGTGGGCGAGGGTCAGGCCTGCGATGGACCCGCCGACAATCACCACGCGGAATCGTGGTTTCGAGAGCTGGGAGTCTGTCATCGTTCCAAGAGGCCGAGTCAGTATGTGAACAGTATGTTTCTGGGGGGTGAAGGATGTGTGCTATGGCGCCTACTTTCGCCTTATATAGGCTGTGGAACTTCTCATTTCGATCACAATCGAGCCACCCGGCAGAAGTGGGCCATTCTCACAGCCAGAGATGAGGGGAATCAGAGAAGCGAGGACAGTGGGTTGTTCTAACCAGTGCCACCTTGTACTCTGAGTATATCAAAGCAAAGAGAGGAAGGTAGGTAGAGAGTCAACGGTTGGTTATTCGCCCAAAGAGTGATTGACATGTGGGGTCTCCGGCGACCCACTGCAGCTGTATTGGTAAGTTACCGTTACCGAAACTTGGAACTGCGGCAAACTTGATTACATTACCAGTAATCCGAGAAATCCGTGAAACCCGAGAAACCCGTGATGTCGATCTACGAATCGTCCGCCTTCCATTGAGGAAGTTCTGACTTCCCCTCTCTTTAGGCACACCCGTTTCCATCCGTCACAACCAAGTAGCCCCGAGCATCGGCTCTCCACTGAAATCTGCATCCTGATGGAGTTTCGGCCCCTGACTGTGACCAATCGAGTTTTTTCTTCGCCGCTGCCAGATCGGAAGCGACGGGACCAGAAGCCTCGAGTGCTTCTGTCCTGTACCTCCTGTCGTGAAAGAAAGTAGGATGCATGCAACTCGTACGCACCCGCAGCACAACTTGGCACTAACTCAAGTGATTACAGACTTCGATGTGATCGCGCTCGTCCTTGTTCGAATTGCCGAAATCGGAATCATGGCACCTCCTGTCACTACGTTCAAGCGCACGCGCGTGCTGCTCATCTCACTCGAGAACATTGTGCACCACACGGTGAATGCACATGGTCAAATCCTGAGATAGGCAAGGATAAGCGCTCCAGTCCTGGGGCCCGACTTCTTCCATCCGAATCGAGTGGGACTCGATTTGTCCATCCAAGCCACTGGCGGGCTCTCATGGATGACGCTGTGTGTGGTTACCTGGGTTCTCATTCCCCAATTCCGAGCTGATATCGAACACAGACAAGGAAACTGAAGATCGACCCCAGCCATGCTCAAATCAAATCAAGCGGCAATTCCGTGCACTTGTTGTCGGGTCTCTCGCATAATGTGAGCATCGACGAATTGATAATCTCGTTGCCCTCCCGCACAGTGGCGGATAGACTCGTGGCATCTTGCCTCGAATCCTCAGAGCCATCCTTAAGTATGTTCCTGTATGTGTCTGCAATACTCTGGCTGACCTTTTCACTGCAGTGATCATTCATGTTCCGACTTTCCAGACTCAGGTATGCCTCTAAATCCTGTTCATGGATTTCGCGAGACATGTCTGAAAGCTCTAGTGTCGCCAATTTTGGCAATCACCTGCGACTGTCAGTCCCGCCTGGCTGGCCCTACTCTATGGGGTGCTAGCCTGCGGAGTGTGGATCGAGCATTTTCTGGATCCCATCATGGCCTACTCCGAAGTACCGCAGTCTTTCTATGCCCTCCGAGAAAAGTCAGCTGTCGCACTGTCGAAGTCAGATCTCACTCTCCCTGGCAGGTTTAAGGTTGAAGCAATGTTGATATACTTGGGAATAGAGTACCTGCAAAGCAATGAATCGAAAACCGGCGTGTCGATTCTTCTCGGGATTGTTTCGCGATTGGCGACCATGATGGGATATCATCAGAGCGCCCATCTCTGCCATCCCCCTCTACTTGCCTTCGAAGCAGAGATGCGATGCAGGGCTTGGCTGTTACTATCAGTCATTGACAACGTCGTTGCCTCGCAAACAGGACTTCCAAGAGTTATCTACCAAGGCCTCACAAACTCAGCTCGCCCACGCAACTTACTCGACGACGATTTCAACTCCACCATGTCAGTGCTGCCCTCACCCCGATCCACAACCGAAACACTTAGCCACGTTGTATATATGCTGGCACTTGACGATCTTTACTCAGTAGCCAATGAGATCGCAGATCTTGCTGCAAAAGGCCCAATCTCTCCCGACAGCACTGCTCGCCTGGGCCAGCAACTGGAAGCTCTGAGAAACGGCCTCCCGTGTTCTCTGCGTATGCGTTCTCCAATCACTCCAACGATGGAATATGACAAATTGATTATGCAACGCACCCTGGAGATAGTATACCAACGGTCGCGCTGCATCTTGCATCGTCAATATCTTATCTCGTCTGAGTCAAACCCCAGCTTTGACGCTTTTCGATGGGCATGCGTGGATGCAGCCCGTTGCGTTCTCGAGCAGCAGTGTCTCCTATTTCAAGAGGCCCTGCACGGTCCGCGCAATATAAGGCGTGTGTGGTTTGGTGCCTCCCGGTCGGTGTCTGATTGCCTCACTGAGGCTATGGTGATATGTCTAGAGGTGATCAACAGGACAAAGGTTTCATCTCAGCCTTCCTTGACCAGTGACGCATCTACAGAGCTAGTCCGTATCCTCCACCGGACATACTTCAACCTCAAACAGACCCCCAAGCCACCTGTAGAAATAACCAAGGCAGCTGAGATTCTGGCCACAATGCTCGGTCGGATGGGTCATGCTGTGACCTGGAACAGTGATTCAGACGAAACTCGGCTTTCTACTGACCCCAGTAACCCTAAGATATCCGACCCTCAATTTCAAGAGATCACGCCCCCGAGTGGCCTTCTTTCGTCTCCTTGGCTCATCTTCGACGACTTGGTTCATGGTGATTCTCCGTTCGAGATGTTTGACTGGGTGAGTCCTTTAACAACTTTCTTCACTTTTTACTTCCTTGGGCTAGACTTGAGCCTTTATGCAATCCGAGCACAGGTCGATCTGGATCTATGCTGATTTATAAGCAGGCTTACTGGGACCGGGAGATGCGGCAGCTCAATGGGGCATCTTATGATATCATATAGGAGGCAGGTGTTTGGTAGCCGGAAGTGTACGCCCGTCCCAGACTCCAAACGCCTATGTTTCAAAGCTTCTCGGATCCACAAGTGGGTCCTGGAAATCAGCCCACGGTTTCCCGCACGTATTTTACTCAGAGCTCCCGGGTTCCGCGATTCTAGAATGTCGGAAGACTCGATTGCCGGATCCGGCGCAAGTCTCCGTACTGTACATGTGCCGCGGGGGCTTTGAAGCTTGAGATTTAAGACTCACTTACTAGCCGCCTCACTCAACGCCCTTTAACTATACATCCATGATTGCAACCATCTTTATTCTTTGAGCCTTCGAAATGTCCGAATCTCCTGACCTCACCGTCCACCATCTCCACCTCTCCCAGTCCGACCGAGTGATCTGGCTCTGCGAAGAACTGGGTCTCCCCTACCAGCTCAAATGCTACGACCGGGATCCCGTGACCTCCTTCGCCCCGGCCGCCTACCGGGCCCTGCACCCCATCGGCACCGCCCCCGTCATCCAAGACGGTAGCGCCGTCACCCTCGGCGAGACCAACGCCATCTTCGAGTACCTGCTTGCCAGATACGACCCCCAAGGCAAACTGACTCTTCCGCCCACCCACCCCAACTACCCGGACTACGTCTTCTGGCTCCACCACACCAACGGCGGGATCCAGCCCGCCCTCTACGAGCTCATGTTCGCGCGCATGTCCGCTCTGCCCGAGAACAACCCGGCCACCCAGGTCATGCAGGGCCGGCTGGACCGCAGCCTGGCCGCGATGGAGGCCCAGCTCGCCAAGTACCCGTTCATCGCGGGCGAGAACTTCACGGCGGCGGACTGCATGCTGCTGTTCCCGCTCACGACGTTCCGGATCTTCATGCCGTACAGTCTGGAGGCGTATCCGCATATTGTCAGCTATTTGGGGCGGATCGGGGAGCGGAGCGCGTTTGTGGCGGCGATGGAGAAGGGGGACCCCGGGTTGAGGAGGCCGATGGGCGCTGAGGGTGCTGTTGCTGCCGTTGCTGGTGAGGAAGGTTCTCAGAAAGCGTGATGTAGATGTGGCACTCGGGGAAACTTGCAACGGGGGTAAAGATGGGGATATGGCCGATTATTCGTCGGTTTGTATATTATGAGAGTTCGGGTTTGCTTCGAGGGTCCTTGCAACTGGGATTGTACATATGTAGATGTTGATTACATTATGACGCTCAAGGATGGGCTATACCCACCCATATCTTGACATATTGGTGGATAATCATGGCTAGCCAAGTCCTTCAACATGGGAAAAAGCTGGATGAATTTGTGACTCACGTGGCCCGATCGCGGAGGAACTTCAACCTTCTACAACCCGCTGGGCAATTGCTAAGCAGCCTATCTAGTCCTTTTTGCCTGTTTTCCATGTACAAGAAGCAGTATCAGCCAAGGACGAGAACGACCGATGAATACAGACTACATGCGGCTAACATTATCTGAGCGGAGCTATCAACATGGCCGCCGACAATATCCTCATGGCTCAGGGCAGTCCTTCATCTTCAACGATACATACGAGAATTCATCCAACCGACCTAAACAGCAGGCAAGAAGAGTACAAGAAATAATCAACCTAGCCCGGGGATCCGTGTTCCACTTCCTTCGCCCAACACAGAACGGTGTGTTCGATGGTCCCTTCTGGTGCCAACATGCCCCTGAGCTACTGGAACCAATACCACTCTTCAACGCGCCGGTAGATCTGCAGAATGCTCATCTGATGACTGTCTGCGGTACGCATCAGGCGATGAACGTCGGCCTCCAGCTGCCGGGTCCGCGCCGCTTGGTCCTGGAGCTGCTGCTGCAGATGCTCGACCCCGGCTTCCAGGTGGGTGAGGCGTTGGTCGAATGTCTCCATTGTACGTCGGGCTGCGTTGATGCTGGCCTCGATCTCCTCGGGGAGAGTTGAGTCGGTGTTGGTAGACGCAGGATGGATTGTCTCATCCGGATTGACTTGTGTCATGTTTGGCTTGGGCGAGGTGGGGTGGGTCATAGCGTCTGCGGTGGTATCGTGGCTCTCGGGGATCTTGGAGGTCTCATCTCTGTCCACGGTGTCCTGAGGGACGGTGTTCTGTTCTTCGGGATTGTGTGGGATGGTGGGTTCCTGTTCTTTCTTGGTCTGGTGGGTGGAGGCGTCGTGGTTTTCACCGTGGGTGTTGTCGGGGATAGCGCGGGTGATGTTGTCGCTGGACGATGGGTGCGAAGACATAATTTCGTTTGATAGATGAGGTTTGGTGAGTTGGGTTTTGAGTGTGTAGTCTGTTCGCAGGTTTTCCAACTTGTAGGATGGATTGGATCGGAGAGATGGGGGTTGCTTTCCAGAGACTTGGCAGGAAAAGGGAAGAGTCTACAGGTTGTAGAGCTGAGATCGTAGGAACGAGGGACTGTGCAACGGTTTTGGATAGTTGTAGAGATAAAGAAGTATGAGCCTGGTGGGTTTGAACAGTGCAGGAGATGTACTTGGCTAGGTTGAGTAGCGTGTATCTGTTCTGTTTTAAAACACCAACTTGGGTGACGGATCGGAGCGGAGGATCAAGGATTGTGAGGGGATGTGGATGAGTGATGAATCCAGACTACGCGAGGCAGCAGGCTATCTGAGTGCGGGACTATCAACATGGCGTGGCGGGCGGTGAGCAGCTGCCTGGCCTTTGAGGCTTCAGGGCTGCTGGCAGGTTGTCTGGTTGTGAATTGCCTCACAGCGGTTGTGAATGTAGGCTTTTATGCCTGCAGGTTGATGTCAGGAGTTCCGCGGGGACCACGATCATGGAGGGGGGGCGGATATTCACTTCCCGTTGTCAGGGTCACTTTGTCTTTGTTGATGGGGAAGATCGATCCGCACGTGGTCTCTGCGAGGGGCAAGAACTTCTTGTCGACGATCATATGCGGTGCCCTTCGACTGGATACAGGTGCCTCGATACCTGCTCTGGCACATCCTATCAAAAAGAACAGGGTCAGTCAACTTGCTGGTTAAAGGGGTTTTTGAGTTGGAGTAGCGAGGGTGTCCTGACCCTCGAAGGTGATCTGAAGATCTTGCAGTCACGTATCATGCTTAAGTGTGAATACCACTTACTCCCCAAGTTCCTCGCTGGGTTTGTATATTGTATATTGATATTGCGGAATGGTTAGTCAAGAAGAGAACTCGACGCCAGCCAAGGCAGGCTTGTCTGCTTGCAGGAGTCAACACATGTTCTTTGCCCCCAGTCAACTTACCAGAGGTATCACTACTTGTCTGCTGGTTGGAATCGAGAGTAAATGCACCCCGGAGTAACGAGCACTCGCTAAAGAACTCATACTGGCCATAATCAGCCGGAAAGGTCAACTGCTGTTTGCTGACTCTCGGGACTTGTAGCGCTGGGTGGCAATCATGGTATGAACGGCTAAAGGTATTGAATAAATGAAAATGATAGTGCCACACTGAATGCGCCCTACGGAGTAAGGTCTGTGAGGAAGGCAGGCCCTACCACCCCTCCATTATATAAGCTATCTGGTAGAACGCTCCTCCACTCGGCTGACAGAGAAATCATAGCTGAATTCCTCGGAAGAGGTATGCATTGTCTGTCGGGTCTCTGCATTTACTGACTGATTCCAGATCTATCATGGGCTTTCGCTAATGTGGCACTTGGCACTAATTATATTTTCGTAAGAGAGAGTTATATCCCTACTATCTGCGTCTTATAGAATTGTATACCCTGGATTTAACAGCAAACTAGGAGATATCAATCATTTTACTATGCTCTGAATACCATGCTCTGATTGACTTTAGCATGCCAAAAAAAAAGAACAAAGAAAAGAAAAGAAAAAGAAAAAAGGAAAAGAAAAAAGGGGTCTAGCATATGTAGTATCTTAATCTTCACTACTGTGGCTACGTATTTCCTTGAGATCGTGACAAGTACTCGAAGGTAGAGCGACGCAGTATCAATACTAAAATAAAAGAATTTAAGCATGTCTCCGGCAGTAGCCTAATTAGTTAGGGCTGTCGTCGGCTTAAATTTGTCAGCACCTAACCCTGAAATCGATAAGCATCGCCATTGCCGATGTCAGCCCGGCCTCGGGGCGCAGAGCGCCGAGGCCGCGCCTAACCGAGCAGAGCATCGGGGCGTCGCATCCGACGTACCTAGACTGAGTCGACCCAGTCTAAGTTACCCGGCATAAAGTTACTTGTTTATGATCTCGAATCAGGCGAGGACAGCCAAGTCGTGACCCCGGCGATTGACACGTTCGCCCCGAAAACTGCGAGATCCCCATCGCCGGCCACCGCTAACCGGCATGTGGCTGCGCTCGAGGAGAGACGGATTGCTGTCTACGGGTCGAGATATTGAAAGACATGAGGCTGGATGGTGTTGTAGTCGGACTAATGGATATACAAGATGAATTCATGATCGGCGTTTGGGGCTACGATGGACTGGTGTCTGTACTGATTCGGTTGATTTAAATGTGATATTAATCGTTGCTGTTCCTGCCCATTTGATAGTCGCATAGATAGAGGGAAACAGCACCCGAGTCGTGGCCTGCGGCCGTGTCTCCATGCGCCATTTAGCCACAGATGAGTCAACCGGGCCTTCGTCCCGACTCGTCGGTGCAACCTCCGACCGTGGACCCTTCTACAAACCGTCGAGATGAAGCTCTTTTCTCTCCTTTTGTTTGATCACCCTGCACATCGATTGATTGCCTGATTTAGGAGATTAGAAGAAGTGTTGATTCTTCGGCTCTTCACAATACTCAGTATACAGTGATTAGCCCAGTGCTTTATCTCCCGGATTCTACCCCTGAAGGGTGACTGATTCACTCAAGATCTATGGTTCCAAATCATGTCTTGTATCTAAAGCCCGGTTCTTCGCATGTCAGAAAAGAGTCGATCTTCCTTGATCATGTCTGCAGCCCACTCCGCGATCGCGTAGATGTTGGCTGTGGGATGCCCGCAGAGCTGGACGGGCAGGATGGAAGAATCCACGACGCGGACGTTTCGAGTACCGTAAACTTTGAACCGGCTGTTTAGTACTCCACCCATCTCCCTCGGTTGCATCGATGTACTCCCAACAGCATGATAGCTTGGAGTGTCTGCAGGTTCGAGTCCAGTCAAATCAGTGATTCACCAACCAGCTTTGTTTCTCTCATTCTGCCCTGGGGCGATGAAGGGGAAAGACTTACACTGCTCCGCAATCCAATCTTTCCAGATTTCATCGTCCGCATCGGCCGGAATGTTTGCGAAACCAGGTTCTAGTTCCTCCTCGATCAGCTCGTTCAACTCGCCGGTTTGAAAGACCATGCGGAGAAACTTGGACATCGCGATTTGGACCTGGATATCCCAATCTATCATGCCATAATTCAGACTCAACCTTGGGAGAACCGCCACATCCAACGAGGAAATGTGGACATTCCCACGGGAGAACGGAAGAAGGCCCCAGTATCCGACATGGATCTGATTTGGGTTATCGAGAATAAACACGAACTCCCCAATTGGGATCCCTTTGTTGAAAATAAGATCATGCTGGCTTGTATAGAGCAATTGTAGAGCTTCCTTAGTCATGGCTCCGCTGGTCTGTTTCGCTGTCATCTCCGCGTATGTGGGATCGAGGAGAGAAGAGAAGCCGCGATGGACTCAGTAGAGGAGCCAAAAAGGTCTGAGGCGGATACGAAGGCTACGGTTCGTGTGCCGGTTACTGGTGACCTGGTGGACACAACGAAGGAGGTGTTGAGTTGATCCTGCAGGTTCTCCCCAACGCTGGGAAGATCGATCTGTACCGGAATGCCATGCTTCTGAAGAATCCTACTTTCGTTTCACATGTGTCAATTTATCCGTCACTGGCCTCCCATTCATAGGTTTCTTACTGTGGATTTCCAACTCCTGAGAGCTCCAAGATCCCGGCGGACCGCATTGCGCCGGCGGCCAGAATCACCTCTCTCCTGGCTTGAACCACTCGACTTCCAAACCCGTCCTTAACTTCAACAGTCTCAGCAGCAAGAGAACCTTGCTCGTTCTCGGCCTCTTGCCATCGAATTTTTGAAATAGACGCGTTCAGCATAACATGAAGATTGCTTCTCCCTGCCCTCAAATCTGTGTAATAGGCCCTTGTTGCATCACTGCGCACACCTTGGGCATCCACAGTATACGGATGCATCGCAAATCCCCCCATTGACCCAGTGTTTAGGTCCCGGTTCCAATATACCCCAAGGGAAGCAAGTGTGCGGTTGAGAGCCGCCGTGAGATCAACCCCTTGATCATCTTGAAGCATAAGGTCCATAAAACCGACCTGCACGGGCCCGTTCTGCCCGTGGTACTCCGGGATAATCGACGCACCGGCGGCACTCTGCGTGCTGTTCGGAGGTTGGACTTTTTCGCTCTTGAGGTAGTAGGGGAAAAGATTATCCCAGGCCCAGTTATTGTTTCCGAGAGCCTGAAGGGCGTCGATCTGAGCGCGTTCCGCGCGTGCGTAAGCGGCACCTGAATAGGAAGAAGTACTCCGTACTGTTGCGTTAGTCACACACGCTGTTTCTCGAGGATGAAAAAAGCCGAGCAGATAGCTAACCATTCATCACACTTGTGCCTCCGAGCGCCCTTCCGTCACGCATCACCTGGCGGCGGTTGCTGAAGTTCTGTTCGGTAGTCTGGTATGCCCAGTCTAGCGGGCTGTCGTAGGTATAGGCTAGACGCGTTATATCCGTGACATTGGGATTGTTGAGCTCGATTTTGTCCAGGTTCGATGACGAGGACAGAGACTGCTGGATCTTCCGACAGGCGGTTGGTGACCGTTAGGCCCGCCGTGCCGCCACCGACGATGATATAGTCATAGCTGGTAGCTGTCGCTGCTTTCATGGCTGCCAGGGTTGTGATAAGTGGTAGAATTAGCGAATAATGCATCATTGAAGTTGAGTGGGGAGTGGTGGAGGTGATGGGTGTGACGAGTACCTAAAGAAGGGGGTGACTGCGAGGCCTTTATAGACAGACAATCTCAGTAGATGAGAACATCTCCTCAGTCCATCCTCTCACCCCATCCCTTTCCAAAACACGATTTCATGCATTCATGCAAGCAGAGACTGTTCTTGTGACGCAATATCGCGCGAGGAAGGATGGATGCAGCAAGGGTGTGGAGGATGAAATCAACCACATTCGCTGCGATGAATTGAACAAGTGAGGCGAGAGGTTGTCGAGATTGAGGCAGGGACATCGGATATCTTCTCGTAATGCTTGCTATGCCGGATGCTGTGCTATGGATTCACTTCATGCATAAGCGTGTGTGACTCCGAGTCTAGCACTGGGAAAACTTGCTTCCTAACCCTTGGCAAGCTTTGGCTCATGAGGTGCGAGGTCGATCTACCTCGTTTGACCCTCTTCCTCTTCCTCATTCACAACTTCCGTCGCGACTCGTTGCTTTTCTGGCAGGAATGATCTTCTGCAAAGAGCCGGTTGCGGTCAAATTAATGGGCAGTATAAGTGTCAGGAATTCGAATAAAAGCCCAGTCAGCGCAGTGTCAAGGCGAGTGGAAAGCAATTCGACCCGTCTCAGATCATTGATCAGTATGCAGCATTTTGAGGGAAAAGGATCATCGCTGCAGTGGTGGGTCCAACCTCCACAGAGTCATGCCGACTGTGGAGAAGCCTGGAGCCTGGATGAGAGCTGCTTCCATTACCACATTCGGTATGAACGCCAGCCAGCTGCAGGATTTATCCGAAGTTCACCCGATGTATCTCAAATCCTCAATAGTCAAGTAGTCAAGTAGAAGCCTACGGACGAATAGCCTCAATACCCGGCTTTGCCTTAGCAAATGAGACATCTAGTTTGAGGGCGAAATTTATACCATATTTTCCAGCTAGGGAGCGTCCGAACCATCCGTCTTAAAAGTGAAGTTAATTGACTACCTAGTTCACACAATATATCCGCATGGATTGAGCCATATGATATCTTCATGACTACTCATGTTGAGATAACAGTCACAGAGAACCGATAGGGGCGGTTGTCGATTGCATGCTCAAACCAGCTGGACCCAGTCCTATACCCCCCTCTGTCCGTTCTTTGCCAGGAGTAGTTAGCTTGCGTTGAACAGCTCCAGAACTGGCAATCCATGGGCAGTGTATAGACTGGCGCGGTCGGGTCTCGAAGTGTTATGAGCCATTTTGCCGCGACCCATCCCAATTTATCTGATACACATCCTCCGTCCAGAATGAACTCTTATCAGACGGTATGACCTCGGAGTTCCATGTCTCTATGAACTCGGCACGGCTAGGGCGTTGTGACATTATTTGCCCTGTGGCTAGATGGATGAATCCTTCTTCTTTTTCGGTATGATTATCAAGAGCCTCATAGCAACTCTTGAAAGTGGTACACGTATTCTCTGCCGAAGCTAGCATAGCAATAGTCCACAATGCTAGTTTGACAGTCAGCTTGCCGGCACCGTGCGCAGCATATGGGATGCTCTTCCACTGCAGCGTCCCAGATTCAAGTCCCAGGCCGTCATCCACATAGCTTGCGAGACAGGTGGCGGCTGCCGCTGGGGCCGATGCGCACCAATGCCGGAGCTGATGCTCTCTCAGCTACCGCGCAGCACGACCAGTTCTTTATCGGTTATGATCCACCCGTACTACCGTGTTCGGCTCTGCAAACAGTATGTCTGCATTTGGCGGAATGGGTCCAGGTGGTTGCTTGCATCAACCCCCGCTGACGTCTACTTCTCAGCAACCTTGGCAGCGCCGGGACACAGGTTCACGTGCCGCGATGAGTGGAGTTGCTTGCGGTCCCGACGGATGTAAAGCGTGAGTCTTCTGTTTCCGCGGACTTTCTCGCCGCGCCACCTGGCAGGAGTTCGGCCGGCTCGTGCAGCAAAGGGCACAGAATGTTCCATCCTTTTGCCAGACACTGTGAGACCACGGGTACTAGACTCCGGCTGATGATGTGTCTGAGTGTCTCTCCGTCCCAGACCTCCCTTTCACCCTGTGAATCCATGAAAAGAATATGCACGGTGCTGCCTAAGGCTCGATCGACCAACGCTCCCCAACCTTAGGTGGGCAAAGCCAGAAGAAACGTTCGAATTCGAATTTTGACCACCAAGGTTTCGGGAGTGGGTACGTGCTAGTGGACCCCAAATCAACAAAAAAGGAAGCTCTATAATTTCTTGCTTCAACATCACCCGGCAGAATCAGTGCCTGTTTTGCGATCTCGAATTTGGCGCGGATTTCTGGGAGGTCTGTCTTTCTCGGAGGGGAAGGAACAAAATCCTTCACAATAGCCCATCGCGAGACATTCGATCCAGGGACTAGTCTCAAATGCTTACATGCTGTGCTGAGACATGCAAGCTGGTCGTCAGTTAGATATATCCAACCATGACACCGCACTGCCCAAGTCCCATTCAGACCTAGATCACACAGGCGAGCAAAGGCACGGCATTCCCGTCTAAAGGGACCAAGGAGTTTTGCATTTGTTGGTTGGACGGGAAGTAGTGCTTTGGGAAATTCCCAGGTTTTGAACTAGAGTATATCAATATTCAACTGCAAAGGTCGAAAAGCAAGATTTATCCCTTACTTACTAATTTTAAACACAGATCCATGTTCTCATGCCGGAAAGAGAACACAACCCCTTCTTCCCCATCAGAAATGTATTGAGGTTGTGAGATTTCAGCTTCGTGGCCGACGAATTGTTTTAGCAGTGGGTATTTCTTGTAAGCACCGTCAGTTTGCAAAGCCTGAACGTCAAGAATATCCTCCGACACACAAATGTTGAGGTATTCGTTCATGGTTGTCCTAAAGATGTTTGGTCGTTCTATGGTCCAAGAGGCGGTAGATAGGCCAAGAAAGGTCCGGTGATGCTCGCGCAAGCAGCTTTTAGAATCGCGACCCCAACCCTACTCACTCACGTATCTTGCAGGGCAATTTCAAGGTCCATGTCAAGTCTTGAACAGAAAACGTGGCGTTTCAACTAGAATCGAAGTAAAAGTTGGATGATGCAGGGAAGGACTTCGGAGTCACTGCAGTACTAGCCCTGAGGTGGAAAGGGGATTCCCGATCGGCTGGAATAACTTTGTCTCCGCATTCCCTTAATCGCTTGGAGACACCGCTGCAAAGAGTAGAACCGGGCGCCGCCTCTTTCCCTCTGAGTTCGGTCTTTGCATCGCCACTGTCTATTGTACTCATTTGAAATCTACATGTATTGTCTTGTAGATGCAGCCTTAACAGTGAGCAGTATACTGAAAGCCTTACTTTACGAGTTGCAGATGATGCAGCCTGATAGAACTTGCTCCTCGCTTCCAGCTGTGATCGATGGGCAGAGTTCCACAGAACTCAACCCCTCATTTGGCGATGTCTGACTCTCGCTGGAACAGAGTCTCAAGGTTTTGGCCAGGTTATTGACTGTTGTCTCGCGGCCATGGCCCGTCATTTGGTCTCAGGACTGATCATTAAGAACGAGGAGAGTAATTTAGCCCAAGGCAGTAATTCTCCGGTCGCCAAACCGGAGGAGGAAGGAGTCAACATTTACAACTGCAGATAGCTTGGAACTACACGGTGCCAGCCCTGCTGCTCATGATCTCTTGGGGTACTGATACCCAGCACCGTCCCGGGACTCGATTCGTCCGATTCGGACGATCATTTCTTCTGCAGGCTTTGGATACGGAATTGTACGCGTACAGCGCTCCGAACGGGCGCAATAATCAGGGCACCTTCAGAAGCAGGTACGCTTCTGCTTCAGTCGCGTACACCCACGGCGACCACTGTTCCCCTCGCGTCCTCTGCACCATTGGCAGCAAATGACAATTCTGCGGGAAGTGATTCAATGAGAGTCCGAGACAACAGACTCGCATTCCACGGACCTTCTTGGTGAGGGTAAGACTGCAGCAATTGGATCGCTCGCCACCGCTGCTCGGGATCAACGGTGCGCTTCGCAATGGCATATAGCGGTGGGACAACGCCGATGTCCAGGGTAATTTGTGGGAGATGTGAGGAATCCTTCTCGCACTGCTGAATTTCTGCGGCGAGAGCCAGCATGATCTCGAAGTCATCTGTAAACTCATGGAACTGCGGCTTTCGAGTCGATACCGGAAGGCTGAGGAGCGCGTTCCTAAGCGCGTGCGCTTCAAGTTGGAGAAGCTTCAAGCCTCGGTTTTCTTTGGCGGTGAGCACCCGGCCCGGTTGATCGTTGAGATTGGTCGTGAACATCAGGAATAAGCTTAACCGATGGATAATGCGAGCTTGCTCACTGACTGCTGACTCAGACTCGTCATAGCCCGTGATAGCCTGCCGTCGACAGAACCGAACCACAGCGCCGGCGAGCGGTTCCATGATCTGACGGACTTTTGTAACAGTCCAGCGGCCATTCTTGACGTTGTGCGCATACATGTCAGAGTAGAGTGTGGCATCATCATCGTCTATGACCAGGATTGGTCCTTCAGAGCCAAAGCAGCCAGCCTGATTGTCAAGATGTGAGAAGGTCTGAGTCAGGGAGGACTCTAGGGGTGTCTCAACACCACTCGCTACTTTGATTTGTTGGTCTCGCAGGATTCTGAGGCCACTCCGCAGGTGTCGGAAAGCGTTGTCGTAGTGTCCTAGGGTAAATTCTGCTGCCACGAAAAGAAGGCAGCATAAGAGTACTGTGACGGTGTACTGTGGATCCTGGGATGCATGTCGCCGCCGAAGTTGCTGGAACGCCCGACCCATCTGCTCAAAAGCGAACTGTTGCCAGCGTCGGCTCTCGGTCTTGGCCCTGGGTATTAAGCTTTCTCTCTGGCGCGCTTGGACGCCGCAGTGCACAGCGCTGAGCGCAATGGAAGAGTGGCAGACAGCCGGATCAGCATGACCGATCTGCAAGCTCAATATCTCCCAGAGAACCGAGTCGTAAAATCCGGCCAGAGTGGGGACGGTGCAATGCTGGAAGAAGCTGAAGCCGCGTCGCTCCTCTAAGGTTAAAGTAGCCAGAATGCCAGGTGCTGTGAGCTGAGGAATGCCTATCCTTGTAGCGAAGAAGGGCTTGTGAGAGACTGGGGGCAGATCGTAACCGTCACATTGCCTCCCTGTTGAGGTACATCGTTTGCACGCCCCGGGAGATTCGTCGCATTTGACACGACGGTATCTTGGCAGGCGGAGGATCCAGGGTGAGTCGATTGAACGAGGTCAAAAAGGGCAGGGATTAGGATAGAGAACTAACCGGCAGGTTCGACATCCCGACTTGGATCTCTTAGCGTATGCTTTTTGTCGCTTGACTGGGGTTATGGAGGGATCAGGCATGTTGGGAAGTTGGCCGAAGGAGCCTGGAGCCTGGAGCCTGAGGGGGTGGAACAGAGACCGGTGGGAAAGCGGGCCGACGCGTCCGTGAACACCCGCTTCTCCTTCCTTCTCCACCCCGCGTGGTTTTCCGACTCGGAATACAGAGTGGAGAAAACACCCTACGTGAACTTGGCCCTGACGCTATCGGAGACTTTCAGTGCAGTGCGACATGAGGATGCGATCTGACTCGTCGCGATACAAAGAAGACTGTGAGAATATCCGTTCCAGTGAATCGCTGCTGACAATCTTCGTTCCTTCTTTGATAATATCTCCGATGCAAGCAAACACTAGCACCGTGGAGCAGGACAGAAAGATCGCCGTGATGAACAATTCGAATCAGAATACATGGCACCAGAAGTATAGAAGGAATCAATCACTATAACCTCCACCTAGAATCGTGTCGAGCATTGAGTCTTGGAACATCCCCCGGTGAACCTCATTCCAGCTGGCAAATTCCTGGAAATATTGCAACATCCGAGCCCCATCACCTTCAGTATTTAAAATATATACAATCCCAGATCCTAATGCCTCCAATCAACCTTCGAACCAACCCATTACATCTCAAAGGTAAACCCATCCGCCAAAAGAAAACAATCAAGTGTTCCTGAAGATGGCGGTGACCGACAACTTCCAGAGCGAAAGCTACAACTTCGTGGACCGGATCTTCGCAAAGGCGGAGATCCCCCACCGTCTGTTTGGCTGGCCGTCGGCCCACGAGTTCGGCATGGAATTCGGCCCCGTGCCGTCCGTCTCCTGCAGCTACACGCCCCCGGGGTGGATCATCCCCGACGACCACATCGACGGCGCCATCTGGGCGCTGCGGGCGGCGGGACTGCGGCCATGTCCTCAGGGACGGAAATGCCCTACGGTGTGTAGTCCCTGGCTGCCCCCGACGGACGTGGACCATTTTCACCGCACCGAGGGCGATGCGCAGGTCCTGCCCCAGCATCCGCAGCTGCTCCGGGTGATTCGGCTCTATCGGAAGTCGGAGTATCTGTGGTATACTGGCTTGTAGAACGGCAAGAGTTGGGGTTATTCCTTTTAGTCGGTTTGGACGTTGATTGATCTACTGAATTTCATAATAACAAGACATCGAATCATTTATTCTGCTTTCTGGAACATTTATTTCTATTTAAATTCTTCTTTATGTACTTGACATCCGACAAGTATAGATGGCTTCCATAATTCATCAAACCTGCTTTTTTCCTATTTCGACGTAGTCCTGGATGACTAGGAACCAGGGGTGCTTCTGCCACGATTCATTTTGACATAAGATACAGAAGAAATCTTAGACTTCATGCTCAGTTATAAGAAACTTATAATTTTGACTATCAAAGGTTATAATTAGCAATTGCTATGATATACGACAGATTATTGCCTAGATATCTCTCTCAGCGGGCAGCATCTCCAACACATTTAGTCCATCTTTAACCTTGACGAAAAGGGGCTTGCCCTAGAAAGAACTCTAATGAGAATCGATCCGAGTCTCTGTTTTAAGTAGAATATGATGAGAGCCGATCAGGAAAAGTAAGCGTTCCTGACTTCGAGGACGGGGACAAGTGATACCCAGCCACGTGCGGATATCTGAGCGGAAATTCCAACATGGCCGTGGCGGACGATGAGAAGCGTGACCTGCTATGCCCACCAGCACGGCCATATCCCAATAGCGGATCTTCTCCTCATAACATTTCTCCGAGATACCCCAGCGCTCAAACTCCTTATCATCCCATTTCCATTCTGTCCCCGTTGTCTCGAAATCTCCTTTCACGAAGCCAAGAAGCCAGAGAGGCCATATAATAAAAAGCTGCCGTGGACAAGTACGAGATGAAGAGGAGAGGGGGGGAAACTCGTGGAAGAAATGTTACATATGTTCTCGTCAGTGACAGTAGTATGTCCGATATAGAAGATATAGCCGCCGGGCCCTTGCTTACTCTGAGCGGAGCCGACCAGAACCGGAGCATGCTCGCACTTGACCACGGCAAGCTTCTTATACGTCGCGAGGCATTCAGTCGCTTGCGGCCATACTGTGTCTGTAGCTTGAGTGGCCCGTTGTCTTGCTGGTTTCCATTCCATGCCGGTGAGCGTGATCTAGCAGTGTATTCGGACGATCGCTGGCGATCCGCGAGAGATATCACGGCAGAGAAGTTCGTTCATTATGTCGGGCTGGACGCCCTCCCGGGCGGCTTCAGCTTCATTCATGTCGTAAGAGTTCTCGTCGAGGACCTTGGCCATTGATATATGGATCTTCTCCTCGGTATTGGGGCCCTCGAGGGTGATTTCTTTGGGAAGGAGAGTGGAGATCCCCTAGAATCACTTGAGGGTTCTGAGAGAGGTAAAGACGGAGACATTGGTATTTGATTGACGGTAGAAAATTCGGAAGATCGTTAGAGATGAAAAGTGAAGAGGGAGTTAGGGAGGAGGAGAAATGAGTAAGGTGGTGGAGAAACGACGCCAGGATAAGAGGGGCCTTGAAGATGATGGATCATATATTGGACGATTAAATGCTTTTATTGCTCTTGGGGTGTTTTGACAGGTTTATGCGGAGAGAAGCAGCGAAAATATATTCATGGAGACCTCGAGGCGGACGAGGATGCAGAACGAATCAAGGTAGAAGAATGAGCAATTCATGCCTGGGTATAGATCTAGAAGACTCACAAGCGAGGTGAAGCTTCCCGGCAGGCTTCAACTGCATGATTGAAGCGTCAGATATTGCTTGACAACAAAGCTTTCTGGCTCCTTATCCTAGCATATCATTCTTTGAGCGATGAGCAGCATTCTCACCTTTTTAGTCTTTCCATTGAGCGCTTCTAATTTCCCATAACAGATTGTATACATCCAGTCCGACTATACCTTCCATTCCCCAAGCATGTGACAGCATGACATAATCACCGCACCGCAGTTTCCGAGGGCGCGCTTTTCTGCTGCCGCCGCCCGCCCGTTCGCACGCCGCAGCTTCACTTTCTCTCTCCGCGCTAGCTTCATGAGCTTCGAAGCTCTACCCACCCCAATCGATCAATTCGAATCTACTCTATCCCACGAGAGCAGTGGTCAATTCTCCAGCTTTTTTTTCGCAATTGGTGCCCACTTCCACCATACCACAAGCCCACAACCCCCAATTACCTGGCGCACGCGAACACTCCAGCAACCTTAACTCCGCATGCAAACCCAACCCTCCAAAAACCCATCCATCACCACCGTCCACAATCTTCCCCGCCGTCAACCCTTCGAACCCTCTTGCTGAATCTCTAAGCGCCAACGATAGGGAAAAATGGCCCACTCCAAACGCAACACCTCCCTCCCGCACTTCACGGCCTACGAGCGCTCCCTCCTCCGCTCCGCCTGGGGCACCAAGCGCAGCGTGATCGGCCGCGACTCCTTCCTGCCGTTCGGGTCCTGCCGGCTGTGCCTCCGCCCGGCGCGCGCCCCCGTCGTCGCCTGCGCCACGGCGGGCGACCTGTTCTGCCGCGAGTGTGCGATCAGCGACCTGCTGGCGCAGCGGCAGGAGATCAAGCGGTTGGAGAAGTCGCGCGAGGAGGCGCGGAAGCGGTTGGCGGAGGAGGAGGCGCGCGCGCTGGAGGAGGTGAAGGGGCGGGAGTTGCGGGAGTTTGAGCGGGTGAGTATGGGGTTGGAGGCCGCGGGTGCCTCGTCGGTGGGGGCGGGGAAGATCCAGAAGGCAGTGGCTGTGGGTGGGGGGTCGGGGACGCCTTCTTCTGCTGCTTTGGTGGCTACGGGGGCCAGTATTGGGCATAAGAGGAAGGTCGAGGAGGAGGTAGGGGCTGCTGTTGATGGTGAGGGGAAGAGGAAGAAGGTGTTTGCGTTGGATGAGAAGATTGTTGCCAAGATTGCGAGGGAGGAGCAGGAGAGGTTGAGGGAGGAGTTGAGGAGGGAGAAGGTTTGTGTCTTGCCTTTTCTTCTTGGTTTGGGGGATGTGGATGGTGGGGTGTGGTTTAGGCTTGCTGCTAACGTCTTTCTGCTGCATTAGGACGCAAAATCCGCCCTCCCCTCGTTCTGGGTCCCGAGTTTGACGCCCTCGACCGATCCGGATGAGATCGCTGCCAATAAGACGGTCAAGCTGACGCCCATCTGTCCGGCTTCGACGGAGACGAATAAGCATGGGTACTCGCTCAAGGCGTTGGTGGATGTGCATTTTACCGAGGAGAAGGGCTCCGGGGGTGAAACTACGAGGGTGTGTCCTAGCTGCAAGAAGACGTTTACCAACGGGTTAAAAGCTATGCGTATGTTCCCCTATCCCTCCCTTCGCCCTGTGCTTGGACGTATTCTGACTGAATCACTTTTCGTTATCTAGTAACCAAACCCTGTGGACATGTTATCTGTCAACCCTGCGTCAACAAATTCATGACCCCCCACGATGCGCCAGATCCGCACGCCACCAAGGAGGAACAGGACCAGACCGCGGCGCTACACGGCCGGATCCTTTGCTATGTCTGCGAGACGGACATCACTCCCGAGACGAAAGGGTCTGCGAGTGCGAGCAAGAAAAAGAAGAAGGATAAGGAGGTGATCTCGCCCGGCTTGGTCGAGATTAGTTCCGAGGGGACGGGCTTTGCTGGGCGGGGCGGGAATGTGGCGACGAAAGAGGGGGTCGCGTTTCAATGCTGAAGCTCGCTAAAGTTCGTTGCATGGGAGCGAGAAGCCGGGTTTGTCCAGGTGTACATTATAGATTTGGGGCAGAGCACCGGGCATACATAGCTTGGACAATGGGGGCTGTTTTTGACAAACCAAATTCATATACATGTCCGACATTCGAAAAGCGGCGCGGACGAGGGAATAATGCTGATATGATACCCAAATACATCTAGAGTACATGAAACCCGGCACCCTTTTACCTTCTTTCAACCCTTTCAGGTGATTAGACCTGACTACACCGCCCACACTTAGGACCGCTTGGAGGCGTTGTTGAACTCGCGCACAACGATATCGCACTTAGTCTCCTGGCACAGACGCTTGCGACGACCGGCCTCCAGCTTGGCGGCAAACTCCAGGCCACTGGCGCGCTCCACAGCCTCGAGGGGCACCTCGAAGTCGGCCAGACGCTTGTCGTTGGGGATCCGGGCATTGGGCAGGACAAACGCGCCGAGGGCGACCTTACCCGCCGCCGCGGGCCCTTCCTCGGCGTAGATGACCTTGTAGAAGTGGGTGGGCACGGCAACGTTGGGCGGGTTGCCGATGACCTCGTAGGAGACGCGCCACTTGCCATCGGCGGGGTCGCGGGTGGGCAGGTACAGGGGCCCCGTGACGACGCGCACCGACGGGTACTTCTTGGTCAGCCCGCGGCAGAAGTCCTCGAAGTGCGCCCAGTAGTCCCGGTTGAAGCCCTCGCCCACCTGCGGGCACATGTTGCTCAGCGCAAAGGTCCCGTCCATCGCCTCCTGCGACCACTTGCAGTCCGCCGCCGGCACCTGGTGGCCCCGGTCGTACCCGGACCGGAAGTAGTCCGACAGCTTCGCCCGGAACATCGGCGGGATCGTCGTGTCCTCGAAGAACGTGCTGTTCTTGCGGTCCGCGTTCTTCATCGCCAGCGACTGCGGCGTGATGTGTTCCGCCACCCAGGACGGGTTGCGCGTCCGCCGGTCGTAGGCGCCCGCGAGCGGCGCCGAGATCAGCGTGTCCGCTACGGGGCCGGGGAAGCCATATTGGTAGATGCCGGTCGGGTCGACGGGGGAGAGTCCCCCGGCGGTGGTGGGCTTGGGGGCGAGGGAGGGAGGAGCGGGAGGGCGGATTGCGGTGGGGGAGGGCGCAGCGATGGGCGACGGAGGTGGGAGTTGTTGTTGCTGAGGTTGCTGCTGAGGTTGCTGAGATCGCGGAGTGGAGGATGAGTAGAAGAGAGCCGTCAGACCGGCACCGGTGGCTGCACTGGCCGCGGCGATCGCGGCGAAAGTGGCCTTGGACATGGTGTCCGGTAGGAGGGTGGGAGGGAGGGAGGGGAGAGAGAAGGGGTGAAGAGACGGAGAGAGAGGGAGAGGAAGAGGTTGAGGATGGAAGAGGAAGAAGAAAGTCGGACAAAAATCGGATCTCCAAAAACAGTCCCGATCGCAGCCCCGTGCGCGGTAGGCCAATCAGAGCGCAATTATCAGATGATTCGAAGTATAAAGAAACAACAATCAACATTCAAAGAATTTCAGCTTCTATTTCAGCAACATTTTCATTGTTTCGATCTTTCTTGTCTTTGTTCCAACTATCAACTGTGGAAACCAGTCCGCTCAAATGAACACAAAGACAGCAATGGCCACTTGCCTGCTCTGCAGGGTCAGGTCGGCTGACAGCAGCGGGCACGCAGATGACACACCCTCTTTCGCACGTATGTTCCGAAACAGGTGTAATTGGTTTCAAATAACAGCAACACTAATATTCTTTCAGCGATGTGACTATCTTTGGCACATATAGACATTATGGTTGGGTGCAATCAAGTCCATTGTGGCAGAAAGGCTACAAAATGCGACGCTTTCTATCGCCACATATCAAGTCAACTTCATCACAACAACTTCCTCCGGCAGTGCCAGCTATAATCAATAATTCGCAGTAGACAGTATGGCTGACCTGCTACCACCGCCAAAGAGACTTAAAGTCTCCGAAGAACTTTCTCTCACTCAGCAAGACGAGGTGCACCAAATGCTCCCTGCCATCGAAAAACTCCGCGACTATAGCAACTTTGGCCAATGGCTCGACGACGTCCATAGAGCACTGGAGACATGGCAGCTGGAGGACTATATCGACCCCAGCGCTCCGAGACCTGCACCCGATGACGATGACTACATCTACTGGGAACAACAGGCAAACGTGATCTTCTCTTGGCTGCACCTTCACACCTCGCCTACCATTTGCGAAGACCCCATTTTCGTTAGCCGCCAGCCACGACTTCCCGAAGACTTCATCAACACTGTCAGGGACGTTGTGAGCCGTGTTAGCCTGGAGACAGCCACTAATCTCTGGTGGTCAACTATCCGCATGGACCCTTTCGATTATAGATCCTTTGACGGGTTCTTCGCCGCATTCAGAGATTTGGCGGAGCAGGCTATTTTGGTCGGAGTCATCACGCCTTATCAAGCGTTCTTCGTCTTGCACCAGCACCTCCCGAATCTGGAGAATGTTTTCACACTGCCTTATGCCAAGTATAGTGACACCCTTCATTGCTTCGGCATGGCTGGCGAATGCCCTAAAACCATGACCGAGGAGACATTCAATCTGTTCTGTGAGCACATTGAAGAGCTTCCTCGAAGCTCTTATTGGACCTGGAAGCGCGTGGGTAAGCAACGAATGTTGTCGTGAGGAGCAGCTATAAGATTAGATTGATAGTATTTTCAGGGCCATGTCTACATACATTGCGCTTACACCAGATGCCTTGAGTTTGAGGTTGCATCGATTCGAACCAATTTAAAAATTTTCCAGTTATAATGACGTCTGGATCTGCCTAATTTTTGCTAGTTATGACACTTTTTCTGAAGCAGGGATTCGTCCAAATTGCTTAGGCCTCCTAGAAGGTTCCTGTAACCAAAGTCACGTATATATCAGTTTGTTTCGCACCCTATGGCTGCTTCTATCCATTCTGGGCTTTCATATGCTGGCATCTTCCCTGCTTCTACCTGCTTCTCACTTTCCTCGCCAGCCTGGGCCACGCCAATGTCATCGAATTGCCGAAGTTAAGTCTGCGATGAAAAGGAAATGTCCAACTAGTGGAGCATTATAGAGGATGTCGTGGTGAAAGGCCGTATATTCTGGGGGAATTACAGTTTTCAGGGCCAGAACTGATCTTCCTGTCTTCCATGAGTAATTTTACGAGATGTTACCGGGACCAGAAATGAAGGTTGCCATAACTTTCAATTGCTTGTAAAGACTGTCCTTGCTGACTGCTTCGGAGATCTCCTTGCCTGTCCAAACTGCTAATAACACTCAGTGGCACGAGAGCACCATCAACAGGAGAACAATTTGTCCCCCACTGTCCTCTTACCCTTCCTCGCCCCTACCCTCCAGCCCTTGTCATCCACACTATACCATCGCCCACCTCTCAACTATCAACACATCAAACACATCATACCAAACATTTTGTCCCTCAAATACACACATTCCGAGATGAGCAGATATGACAGTCTCTATAAGTTATACAAATCACCGAGTTGAAGCATCTGCGATGAGCACAAGCGTTCAGCCTATCGTCCGCCTGGATGTCATTCGCAGATCGCCGCGTTTCACCGTTGCCGGAGCCGCCGGTGCTGGAGTCCCCACCTTGCTGATCCTCCTGGTTCTTCTCTGCAGCCTCCCTGGCGTCGAGGTCGGCAAAGACCTTGTCGAGTTCCGCGCAGAGAGCGTCGCCGGCTACAGCCACCACAGTCCCGTCTTCGGTCTGCTTCAGCATGTAGCCGCCGTCTTCCTCGTGCAGAAGCGTGTATTGGTTCTCGAAGGTGATCTGGTTGAGCTGCTCGCGGGTCTCGGCCACTATAGCCCCAGAGGGCACGGGTTTGGAATAGCGGGTGAGAGACATGGCGGAGCTTATGGAGATGAGAAGGAGGATTAGAAGACTTCTGATAGGGAGGGTAGATGGAAGCATGATTGCAGGTTTTCCAAGTGTGGATTTGTTTGCTTGGTTGGTTGTTTAGTGAGCGTACCTCAATCGAATCACGGTAGTTTTCAAGGAAGAGTGGATGTTGATGATCCTTTCTTCAGGTCGATCGGAGAAATGGGAGGTGCTTTATAAGTGTAGACAAGAAGATAAGGCGTACAGTGATCTCAGCTCAAGTTCTGCTGACACGAAATTCTTGTGTAGCTACTACAAGGTGAAGCTGGGGTTTTCCTGCACCTGTTTACTTCAAAGCCTCCATCATGTGACGGGCCTGTAATACGTCACTCGGCCAGTGTCCGTTTGCTCTCCTTCCCTCCTTGACTTCCAGTTCTACTGTACAACTTCCCCATCTCCATTGTGACGCCTTGAGGGATACTTTCAAGTTTCTTGATGTCAATGTGTTTATTTGGTACTTGTTTCTCGGCTTGGTATCTCTACTTCACTGCTAGGATTGGTAAAGTCAATTGCCATGTCGCGGAAGCTGTGGCATCCGTACCACTCTTGTACCTCTTCGCAGCTAAGAGCCTGATGAAATTCCGACTCATTCGAGCCCGTTTGGTGCCAGCTGACTTCGAATATTCCCTGTTCGTCGGTGTTGATATAAGCTCTGATCAACCTCCGGCTCGGTGCATTCAGCTCACCACCATCAACTCGGAGAACGAATCGGAGGATAAGTCCAAAAGTCAATCATATCCCTCGTACCGACAAACTCCTACTGAGCCGCTACAACTGTGGTTATCGGCTTACTTGCCAAAACACATACAGTGATGTCGAATGTTCAACATCGATGCCTTCGTCATGACCATGGCTGTGCCATGCTAAGTACATGAGGCTGGGATCGGAGTTTCTGACTCTGTGTCTGTGTCTGCTCAGAATTGCGTTCTCATTGTAAGCTCTTTGCAGTGGCGAGTCTTCATTCTCTATTGTCCTGATTGCATTCGAGGTGTCACTTACTGGGGAAATTAGATTCTTGGATCAATGCTGACTTGTGGCCACTAGAGGCGTAGGACCCTACAGAGGATTGGCAAGCCGCTGTCGAACAACTTGAACCTGCTCAAAGTCAAACTATACAAACCGGTACAACTGTTCCGGAAGGAGTTGAAGATATGAGTCCAGTGACCAGATTTCAAAAAGCTGTTTTGGCTGACACACTAGGCACTATGTGGGTCTTTGTCCGCCAAGCGCTGCTCCGCCAATCAAGAAGTTTTCGATCAACAGCTTTGTTTAGACTCTTTTCGAGTGTGATACTTAAAGCTGAGCTGTCAGAGGATGTCTCTCTGTTCACAGACAAGGTACATTCATTCTAGTAGTCGATGTTACAAGTATGATAACATCTCGAAGATGAATAGCTTACAGGCTCAGTCACAAGTTCACTTCAAGGATCTCCCACGGCATAAAGTTTTGACACACACTTAGTTCATTGGAGACTCGAAAACATCTCCAACTCCAACTTCATACTGCACTAGCATCTGCCTGAGCGGTAGTTATGCGGTTTCCAACTCGTTGTCCCCATCGAAGTGCCAGCGTTATCCCCCAGCAGTGCGGGCTTAAAGCCATCACCATTGCACCAGCCAGTACCCACGAAGCCGATTCTATACACTGGATCTCACATCAAATTATGGTAGAACATTCTGAGTAAAGGAGAATTGCAGGGGCAAATTGCGACGTGCTCTCGAGTAAGAAGGCATTGCAACACAACTGGTTCGATTGCCAAGAGAGCAAAAAGCTGTGTGGATCAGACCTCCTTGAGAAGCCAAAGGGACGGCTAGCGATGAAACCAGCCCAATGCTGCGGAAATGCTAGGAATCGCCACTTAACAAAGTTGGGGATGGCATATACCCCACAAACTTTCAATTCTTCGTTCTAGGGCTGGATGGTCGCTGATTATCACCACTAATAGTTCTTTACCCTCTTAGAGTCTAGGGAAGGATGCATGGATGGTAATCAGAAAGAGGTTGTACGGTAGGTATGAGTCTCCACCCTACATAACTCAGATGATCTAGTAACGTTTTTACAGAGGAGATCGCTCGTTTTTGTACCCGGACTAGGCACGATCCACTCGTATTCGCACACTTGGCCCAGAATGGATGTCCACCAACCCTGAGATGCCTGCAGTTTCACATCTAAACAATAATAGCTCATTGATGATCGCCCACTATGACAAGGGGGTCTTTCTGAAATTCTGATGTAGTCTCAACTGAGTCGAGTGCAGTGCAGTACATATCCTGCTGGACTCCCATGCATTTGACACCCCTACACTACACCACCTCTCTACACCCATCATGTCAAGTGGCTACAAGCTCTATGAATACAATCCCTCCGTGGGCGCGCCCATCGTCTTCGCTGGAGTGTTCGCCGCAACCTCTGTGCTGCATCTGTTCCAAATGATCCGCAGGCGGACTTGGTACTTTACACCCTTTATCATCGGTGGTTTCTGTGAGTTCTCCTGATCTCTTTCTCTGCCAATGCCATCGCCGGGATCTGGCTGATATGCTGAACTATTCTATTTCTCTCTAGTCGAAGCATTTGGCTATGTTGCGCGGTGGTACAGTGCCAAACAGACCCCGAATTGGACGGTGATGCCGTATGTCGGTCAGGAGCTGCTGCTCCTCCTCGCCCCCTCCCTCTTCTCCGCCTCCATCTACATGCTGCTGGGGCGCATCATCCGCCTGGTCCATGGGGATTCGCGCTCCCTTATCCGACCGAACTGGTTGACCAAGATCTTCGTGACGGGAGACGTGCTCTCTTTCTTCATCCAGAGCGGAGGTGGCGGCATGATGGCGAGCGCGAACTCGGCCAGCAGTGTTTCCCTGGGCAATCGGATTATCGTGATTGGTCTCATCGTCCAGCTGGTTTTCTTCGGCTTCTTCATCCTCGTCTCCATAGTTTTCCATCGCCGTATGACCGCTTCCCCGACTCCGACCTCCCTCTCCATCAGCAATCCCCCATGGTACACCTACATGCGGGTTCTATATGTTGCCAGTGTTCTGATCATGGTTCGATCGATCTACCGTGTGGTGGAATATGTGCAAGGGTCCACGGGAGTGCTGCAGCAGCATGAGATCTACCTCTACATCTTCGATGCGGTGCTAATGTTGTTGGTGTGTCTTCTGTTCAACATTATGCACCCAAGTCGCATTCTGTCCAGCCGCCAACCGTACGGCAAGATGGACTCGGATCAGGTCGAGATGCTGGATCCGCGGATGTGATTGTTAAAGTGGTCGGTCGTGTCTTTAATGGTTACATTCTTGGGTCTCGCTCGGTTTGTTATTGTCACGCCCACATTTGTTACTCGAAATCTCTTTTTGTTAGTTGATACAGTTTGTTGTAGCGCTTCTGCTTTTCGTCATTCTTTGTAAATAGAAATCTTATGAGGTTACCTTCTCTGGATAGGGTTTCGTCCGATGTCCGTGAGAGCATTTTTGTTCCGGGTCTCGTACCGATTACTCGAAGCAGTTAGCCGGATTCTACTGCTCTCGGAAACCAATTCTAGACGGGACAGTTTCAACTGTGTTTGCCTAGATTAGACTCATAACATTACTGGTCAAACCGTGGCTGGGCTAGAGATGTTGACTTGTAATATTTCTAGCCCGAAAGTATCTGACTGTAAGGCTCTTGAGTAAAGAGTGACGACTGAATTTCGGAAAATTAAGTTCCATCAGTGCGTCAAACACGTGTCGCTCCTACGAGTAGATGCCTTGGTATGGTAAAATCCGAAAGAAAGGATACCCCTAAATATAGATGCACGGGGTAGAATCCCAGTCTCAGTCAGAATCTGATTCCCTCCACTGTGATCGCCACTTGAATGCAGAATAAGGTACTCCCGGCGCAGCGTCCGGCCCAGACACCCAACTTATTGCCTATTATGGATGACAGGAGAGGGCAAAGGCTTTTCTTGGCTGGCTGCGCATAGTACAGACGTAATGTCGCACTTGGCCCACGTCTTGCGTGTGTATTTTAAATCCGCCTTTTCTCTCATGCTCGGAGAATGACTTGATCATTAAATCAGCGGTCCTTTGGTCAATCTAACCGACTTTTCCTCTCCTCCAAGGCCTTTAAACAGATCGACATCCCTCCCTCTCACCTCTCCCCTGCCAACTACACACCCAGATCCAGCTACTAGAAAGAGCGTGAAAGAGCAAATGATCACCTCAATCAAAGTCGACGACGACAACGACAACGGAACGCATCCACCGAACAAAACAACATGGCTCACCGCCATCCAAGCATTCCTACGCTGGGCAGTCACCCCGCTGGGCTTCTGCATCACCATCTACGGCCTGAACGTGGTCGCCTGGGGCGGCATGCTTTTCCTGCTGCTGTGCAATGCGGCGCCGGCGATGTGCCACCCCAGCTGCGACGCCCCGTACTCGGCGCGCCGCATCTGGATCGAGATCGACTCGCAGATCCTCAACGCCCTCTTCTGCGTCACCGGGTTTGGCCTAGCGCCCTGGCGGATTCGGGATCTGTACCTGTGGTGTCTCTGGCGTCTCGGTCGCTCGTCGCGCACTCGTCAAGGGGGACTGGTCCGGCTTGCGGAGATCCATGGCAAGTGGTTTTGCGGGACGGCGGTCCCCGTAGATGAAGACGAGGAGAAGGCGACTGCGGGGGCGGCGGCCCCAGCAGCAGCAGCAGCAGGAGCTGCTGCTGCTGCTGCAACAGAAGCTCACCGCACCCCCACCCCGCTGTGGAAGATGGATGTGGTGGTCTGGGGCAACTTCCTCAACTCCATCTTTCAGGTCTGTCTGGCCGTGTGCATGTGGGCGATGGACCGGTTCCACCGGCCCAGTTGGACGACGGGCCTGTTCGTGGGCCTGGCTTGTTCGGTTGCCGCGGGCGCGGGGGTTGTTATGTGGTTGGAGAAGAAGCGCATCCATAAGGCTAGCGAGCACCCTGGGGCGCTGTTGTTGGTGCCCCCAAGTGCCGGCGCTGCCAGCCCTGGGAATGGCTATATGCATCTGGATCGGGGAGCGTTGTCATCTTGATATTTTTCCGGTTGATAGATTGCTCTGGGGGTTTTCCTTGATTTCTTTTTACAGCGAACGGAAATCTGTTTTGCTTGATGATTCTTTCTGATGTTTTTTTTTGTTGGTGATCACATGGAGCTACGGTACCTATCTCTGCGGGATTTACGATATAACTGCCGCTCGGGGAGTCACTCTTTCGCTTGAGGGTATTTTGAGACGCATGAATGCGATATTGTGTATTCCAATCTTCATACTGTTTCTATTTGGGTGGTGAAGGCGCATCCCTAGACTATGTGCACAGTCTGACCCACTGTCGTACTCGTACTCGTACCGTTGCCTAAATGTAGAGGAACAATGGAATGGGGAAAAGACCACCATGTTTTTTTCCCTGACTTGCAACCAGCCCTATCTCAAAGTGAAACAAGGATGCGATCTCCCGTCAGCCTTATAGCAGCTTTGTGGCTGAGAAAGTAATAGCAAGGTGAAACCGGACGCTGACCGAATAGAGCGTTGCAGGTTAGTGACGAATTGAACGAGCTAAGTGGAGCAGCTGCGGGAGGCTAGACGGGCAACACAATGGTCTTACGGGGTAGAACTAAGAGTTGCAGAGCAGTAGTCGAAATAGTGACAAGTGAGGACTTGGGCAATAAGAATTGATTCTCTGGTGGTGTTGCAAAGTATAATTGGTGGATGTAAGGATGTCCTAAGATTCTTTTACTATTATCCTATTTTTGGACCTTGGCAGTACTACGTCTGAGCATACATGTTTCCAGCAATTGTTTCTCTACTACTATATAGGGCTCTTTGGCTTTGACACTGACTCCGGAGGTGTCATATCTTGCTCTAAGCGTGATCATTGAGTTACAAGCATCGCTATATTTCTCACCACAGAGTTGTGAACGCCCTCTTTTTGTCTTGTTCTGAGCTTGGTCTGCTTCTAGACATCAGCATCGGCGGCAGCCGCAAGATCTTAGTAGCTTGGACTGGTAGATCAACTAGTATTAGTATGATAGACATGTCGGGTACCATCTTAACAAGCCTTTGCTTATTATTTTCTCTATTCATCCTCACATTATCGCCAGGGATGTATGATTCTCTTGATAAAACCTGTAATCTCCTATCCCTAAACCATTTGTTGTTCTACCTTACATAATACTTGTCTTGATGCAAGCACACTCACAGTTGAATATTTTGTATGATGCTGGTTTGTAAAGCATTCTAACCAGGGTTGGTAGTACTATCATGGCAGGTAAAGCAAGTCTTTAACAAGTATTCTGTCATTCTCAATCTACTGTGAATTATCATGCTGCAGTAGACACGATACCACTGAGAGAAAGACCAATTGGTCTACTAATGACATTGCATGTACAAAGGAGCGGAGTGTCAATCGCTTAAACTACAGAAGGTGAATGCATATTCATCCAGATATTGAAATCAATTGTACCTTCTATTTTTATTCTGAACGCAGTGGATTGCAAGGGGGAATGTCAGAAGTAGGGCTTCCAAGGTCCCCAGACCTTATCTAATCGGGAGAGCGCGTGACATGATATCATGCATTATTTAGCCATTCCATTCCGCCCGCCCTCCGCAATTCATTTCCTTTGCTTTACCAATTTTCCCCCCGGGTACTCCGTACCTACTCTGGGATCTCCTCATCTCTTCCTCCACTTCTGTCTCCATCTCCCTGTCGATCTCCCTTCCCTCCCTCTCCCCTCAGGCTCTTTCCCATCCCCATCCCCCCGCATCATGGCTGCCAGCAATGACCTCCGGGGCTGGGTCATGAGTGCCGTCTCTGGCGCGGGTAAGTTCAATCTCGAACCCATCTCCAAAATTCGCCTTCCATGCTGATTGATTGCCTTTAGCCTGCGTCCTGGGGTCGTCCGTCATCTGTGTCGACATAGTATTGCGGCAGTTAACACGGCGAAAGGACTTTCAGATAGTCCACAACAATGCATTCTTATCAGCATCGCTCTGCCTGAGTGCAGGTGTAATGGTATTGCCGCCCTTGCCCCTTTTCGTTATCGTCGTGACTAATGGTCATAGCTTTTCACCTCTCTCTATAGCATGCTTCCTACATCGCATAACTACCTCATTCGCGCCGGCTGGTCTCCCTCTAGCTCTGCGTATGTGCTCATTGGACTCTTCCTCGCCGGTGTCGTCGTCATTCGCTTCGCATCCGCCCTGCTGCACCGGTACATCCCCTCCCATGTCGTCGATTGCGCTCATTCCCACGAACCACATCCGAAGCTCGATCACCACCACGAGCCCAACGGACACCATCATGATGAGCCGAACACGTGGAACGAGCGCACCCCCCTTCTGTCACGGGCCCTCAAGTCCTCCCCGGCGACCATGACCCTCCCCGAGGCGAACGCTCGCGCCCAAGTGCCTCTCCAGCGGCGGGAATCATTGCGGGATCGTCTGACGCGGCGCTTCAGCCGGATGGTGGGCGTCAAAGCTCAGTGCGACGAGAACGGGCCTTGTTTCGGGTTTTCGCAGGCGTGTGGCCATGAATGTACCAAGACACTCTTGCCGACTCCCTCGATCTCGGATGTAGGCAGTGACCTGGTTCGTCCATCTCTCAATCAGCCTCGCAGCATCACCGTCCACGGAGAAGCAACCCAGCCCAGCGATCTCGAATCGGGTCTACCTCGCGTGCACGAGTCGCCCCACCATGACCACCACCACCACCACCCTCACCACGAGACCAGTTCCTCCTCATCGCACACGGGCCTGTTGGACGATCAGTGCGAGCCGTCGGAGGACTCCCCTCATAAGCTTCCTGTCGCAGAGACGCCGCAACATCACCACCACGTCCCGCAAAACGCATTCCTGTCCATCGGGCTCCAGACCTCCGTCGCCATCGCCCTGCACAAGCTGCCGGAGGGCTTCATCACGTATGCGACCAACCACGCGAGCCCGACGTTGGGATTGACGGTCTTCCTGGCGCTCTTCATCCACAACATCAGCGAGGGGTTCGCCATGGCCCTGCCCCTCTACCTGGCCCTGCACTCGCGCGGCTGGGCCATGTTCTGGTCCAGTCTGCTGGGCGGCATCAGCCAACCGGCGGGCGCGGGCCTCGCCGCCCTCTGGATCTGGGGCGCCCGGCGCGCCAACGGGGACGATGGGACGGCCGGTCCGTCGTGGGGCGTGTACGGGGGCATGTTCGCCGCCACCGCGGGCGTCATGACCTCGGTGGCGCTGCAGCTGTTCAGTGAAGGGTTGACTTTGACCCATCATCGGGGCATGTGCACGGGGTTCGCGATTGGAGGGATGGTCCTGATGGGGCTCAGCTTCGCGCTTACGGCATGATACATCGTGCATCGTCGGTTGGCGTTGATTCTCGGGTATGATTAGGCCAGAAAAAAAAACTGCATTGTTGTTCTGTAAGGGTTGCACTAGACAGAATTACTTCAAGAGATAGCATTGTTCCAGCGGAGTGACTTTTTGCTTTTTGTGATGTTGTGAAATGACGTGACGAAATCGGGTTCCGGGCTGTCATGACGGATTGGATTGATTGTTTTGTGATTGTATCTGTTTACTCGGGGAATACATATATAGCATTACCGGTAGATTCACAATTCGCTCTCATGTTATCGTACAGTTTTTAGGGAATCACTAGCCACTAGCCACTATATAACAGCGCCTGAAGTATAGTACAGTAAAAATGTGCTAGGAGGCTTTCCCCTTGGCAGCCGCCGCCGCCTCGCGCTCCTTCTTCCGGGCCAGATATCTCTCCCGCGCACTCGAGACGTCGCCCTGAGTCTTCAGGCTCCGACTGCGTTCGGCGATCTCCTTCTGCCGCGCCGCCTCGGCCTCCTCCTCCTGCCGCGCCCGCTCCTCCAACTGCGCCGCGATCATCTCCGTCTGTCTGGCGCGCTGGCCGCCGCGATCCGCCCCTGCTCTATTGGCGCCGAACCTCGACGTCGCCGGTCCACCCACTCTCGTCCCGGCCTTGGGATCAAGTTGCGGCGCCACCTTCGGCTTCGGCGCGACATTCAACCCGGCCGACAGCAGCTGCCTCTTATCCACGACCTGCCCGTCATCGTTGACGGCAATGTGCGCGCCCCGCGCATTCAACTCGGCCGCCACCTGCGCCTCCGACTTGTGCTTGTCGTCCTTCTCCTCCCCACTCTTCTCACCTTCCCCTGCAGCAGCAGTAGCAGCAGCAGCAGCAGCAGCACCCCCTTCCTTTACAGCCGCAGCCGCTTCCGCGGCAGCCCTAACAACAGCAGCATGCTGCTCCTCCCCGCGCGCCAACATCTCCCGATAGAACCCGACCATCCCCTTGCCCCCATTCTTCCGGCGGTCCTCCTCCTCCTTTGCCTCCCGGGCAGCCTCCTCCTCCTCGATCCGCCGCATCTCCGCCTGCTGCGCCTTGTACGCGGCCGTCACGAACTTCTCCTTGTCGGCGAACTCGTCCCCCTCGGCCTCGCGCTCCTTGGCGAGCTGCCGGTCCCGGGCGCGGAGCTGGTCCCGTTTGCGGATCTCGGCGCTGCGGAGCAGGGCGGTCATGTATTTCGGGACTGTGCCCGAGGGGTCGTCGGGATGACCGGGGGTTGGCTTGGGGGCCGGTTTGGCGTGCAGGGTGTCGTAGATGCTGTCGTAGGAGTAGATGCTCGGGTCGAGGGATTCGGCGCTGTGGCGGTGCTGGCGGCTGCTGTGCAGGGCGGAGAGGTTGGTGTATTCGTTTCCTGTGGGGGTTGGGGTTTTGGTTTTGGTTTTGGTGGGTGGGTTAGTAGTGAGCCCGTATGTCGTTGTCGTTGTCGTTGTTGGTTCGGCGGTGGCATCATCGTCGGAGTCGTTGGCGAAAATCGAGGTTTTGGAGAGCGGTTTTATGGTTGTTGGGGGTTTCGAATTGGTGAGGTTGGATTTGCGTTTGGGAGGATGCGTGTCTGTGTCGGTGGGTTTGGGGGCTGGCGCTGGGGTGGGAATATCGTTTAGGCCGCCGAGGGTGGTGATTTCGATGGCGCTGGGTTTCTTGTTCGCGGGCGCGGTGGTGTCATCGTCGGAGGAGTCGTCGTCTGAATCGTCGAAGATGGTTTTCTTGCGCTTGTTGGGCGCTTGGTTGCCTGGTGGGGGGCGGCCGCCGCCGCCACCGCCGCTGGCTTTGGATTTGTTGGCGAGATTGATGCCGAAGGGTGGCATTTTCTTTCTGGTAGGTTGATGTACAGTACAGGGAAGAGGAAACAGTTGATTTGATGATGGATATCGATATCGATGATGCGAGTCACGTGTCGACCCTCTGGCGCGACATCTTATCACCACGTGATTCTCCCCTCCCCTCCGCTTGCTGTCCCCGTCCCTGACTGGCGCGGTGCTGCAGCGGCGTGTGTCTGCCCCGGAAATCAACATCTTCGTTTCGTTCTACTTACTTACTTCCCCTCCACAGCTTCAGGGGCCTGGAAAGCATCCAAAATGTCCTACTACTTCACCATCCTCTCGCCCACCGACGTCCCCCTCTTCAACATCGCCTTCGGCACCTCCAAATCCGGCGGCGATGGCATCGCCCGCTTCCGCTTCCCGGACACAGCCCAGTACATGAACCAGTTCATCATCCACTCGAGTCTGGATATGGTCGAGGAGGCGCAGTGGATGAATGGGAATATGTCAGCCAACCTGTCTTACTCTCCAAAAAGCCCAACTAACCATTCTGATCCGGGGGCGGGGGGAAACAGGTACCTCAAACACATCGACACCTACCCGCCCGCCTCGGCCTACATCTCCGCCTTCCTCGCCCCGTCCGGCGCCCGGTTCCTGCTGCTACACCAGCCGCCCAACGCGTCGGGTCCGAATGCGATGGGCGGCAGTGGCAGCGGCGGCGGCGGCAGCGGGATAGGCGGGTCGTCGATCCTGGGCGGCTCGTTCTCGGCGGGCTCGTCGTCGCGCGCCTCGGCCAGCTCCATCGCCGCCAACCCGACCAGTCCCCAGACGGAGGAGGCCGTGCGCCAGTTCATGACCGAGGTGTATGAAAATTACGTGAAGACGGTCATGAATCCGTTCTATCGGCAGGGGATGGAGATTCGGAGTGCCGTGTTTCGGTCCAGGGTTAAGGGGGATGGGGGGAAAAGGGGATGGAGAACTGGGGTTGGGTCAAGGGGTGATAGAGGTGGAGGGATTGGGTGTGTGTTGGGTGAGGGTGTAGGGTATACTGGTGTTGGCGTTGGGTTTGGTTGCTTTCTGCTTGATGATACCAGGGCTTGTTTGCCATGTATATCTTTTTTTAGTTTCTCTGCTTACAGTGACTTCAATCGATGACCGCTGTGCATCGTTAATCATGGTCATATTCGTCGTTATTGCTAGCAATCCTACTAAAGTACCCAAACAACTCCTCTAAATCCGAACTCGGCTGAGTCTCAAGAAAACCATCAAATGAAGTCCAGAACATCGGCTCAAGGAGCAAAGCTAAACGGCCATCTGTGGAGCCAGCTTCTTCACAGTCACAGCCTTGAAGTTCTCCACCGCATGCACTACATCCTCCAGCTTGGTGACCGCCCCAAAGATCCCCCCCTCCATCTTCACCGACTCGATCGTGCTCACATGCAGCGAGGGCTCGCTGGCCGCCGTGCCATCCTCGAGAACCACACAGTCAAAGCCGCGGTCGTTGGCCTCACGCATGGTCGTTGCCACGCACACGTCGGTCGTCACCCCGGCGATCACCAGGTTCTTGATCCCACGGTTTCGAAGGATGAGCTCGAAATCCGTATGCGCGAACGCGCCCTTCCCAGGCTTGTCGATCACGGGCTCCCCGGGGATCGGATACAGTTCGTCCACTGTGTCGTGGCCGACTTCCCCGCGAATCAGGAGACGGCCCAGCGGACCCGGCGAGCCGATCCCCAGTCCGGAGGCATTATTCCGAGATCGGTAGGTCTCTCTGCTAGACAGCGTCGACAGATCAGGGCGATGGCCTGATTGGAAAGTCAGTGGACCGGGATGGTTGACAGGGATGGACTGTGGACATTCGTTTGCCGTACGCACCTTCTCGGGTGTGGTAGATGGGAAACCCCGCCGCCCGGAAAGTATTCAGCAGATGCTGAAGTTTCGGAATCAGCGCCTGATTCGCGGAGATGTCATAGCCCTGGTACTCCATGTATCCACCTGGTGAGCAGACTGCATCGCATAGACATAGGTTAGTTCCGAAAAGACCCACTAAGCAGACAAGATAATATATACGCACAGTCCTTTTGCATGTCGATGATTACTAACGCCGTGGTATAGGGGGTCAGGGTGGCATCGTGCGGCCAATCGTACGGCACCGCCGCGATCTGACCCTTGCGGACCTTGTGGTGAGGGAGCTGTCGGGGTTTCTCGACAATCGGGCCGTGGTTGTGCGTGGGGTTCAGCACCGTCAACGTCCAAATGCCAGGAGTTCCAGCTGCAACTAGCATAAACGGGCAGTCCATCAGCCGCGACGTCCGCCGTCGCTTCCTGGTCTCCTCCGTGAGACCATTCCGTGGACGGTAATGGCCACCGCGATCACACCGCAGCCAGACCTTGGCAGTCCGCCCCGGTTTCTTTTCCGTCGGCGTACTCGACGACTTGACTACGATGTTGTACCCATGTGCTTTGCCGTGGGCCGACACGGCTGCCAGTAAAGTCGCTCTGGGGGGAGGCGGGTTGCACCAATGTGAGTGATTTGCCGCTGGCTGGAAAGGGGAGAAGGCAGAAAGGGGAATGTACTTACTTGTCGGGATACGTTCCTTCCGGCGGCGGGAGCAATTGCATGGACATCTCCGGGATATCTTGAAGGTCGCTCGGCGCATCCAGGTTCAGATCAGTGGGATCTGCCATGGTGACAGGTGAGGTGGTGGTGGATGTCTGGCATCGCCCATCAGTCTTATCCAAAGCATTCATATGGCTATGGCCTCATAGAAGTAGTGAAGGGCTGTCGGGGAACATGAGAACAATCGAAGTATTGAAGTACTGCGCTTCCTCGACCGAAGCGAGTGCGTGGAAGGAATGTCCCCACGATGATGAGCAGCCGAAGGGGTTTTGTGCGTGGATATAGCGTATCTAGGGGTGGATTATCAGAGAGGAGAGGGGGGGGGGAGTGTTCATACTCGGGCGGGATCTCCCCAACACTCACTCACTCACAACACACTACTTCACCCGCCCAAGATACACACCAGACAACAACAACACAAAATAGGCAAAGAAGGGGCCGGCGGCGGCGGGAACGTACTGGAATCTGGGGTCGCACGTGGAACCTTGAAAACTATCCCTTGTGCCGAAAACAAGTTTTGGGGATTTTCGATTTTCAAGATCGGGGAGAATGAATTGAATTAGGCTTTCTGGTTTGGAGGCATCAGCAGTCTTCAAGGTTGTTAAGAGCACGGCTGGCTCCATATAAAGAGACACTGAACTGAAGGGAAGGTGTGGGTGGGAGGCACTGTGGACGCAGACTGACGGTGTGTGTCCACGTCCGGTCACGTGGTCCGCTCACTCACCGCTGACTTATCTCCACAACAACAAACACAAACAACTAACTACTAGGTACTAAGTCTATCGATCAAACTCCTGCAGCAGGTATCTCTTGTATTGATCTCACTATCGTCACTCTGCAAGAATATCGGTGTATTATCTCGCCAATGAGCATTCAGCCCCCGATGATGAATCCCAAATCTTTCAACCACGTAAGCACGAGGCATTGAGTGGCACCTCAAAGTTCATTCTAATACATCAATGTCCTCGCGTACGTCGCGCCTTTTGTTCCACCGCACGATTCATCTAGATGGCACCGGATGGGTGATCGGAAATGTCGGTCCGCTTCGATGCTTGAAGAGATCTGAGCTGTCGAATCCGATTCTTAACGGCCCGAACATGTTGCTTCAAGTCAGTGCGGATCTTCTTTAGCGCAGATAGATCATTCCATTGCTCGCTAGCAATAGCCCATGGTGCAGAATTATCATTCGAGGACACGATAGCCATGGTACTCTGCGCTTCGTCTGGCACGACACGATCCTGGCCGGATTGCAGAGATGCATCAGCTAGTCGAAGGTTTGCCGCCTCAGCATCTTCGTGAGCAAACCAAAGACCGTCGTGTCCAGTAGCTTGGATTGCTTCACGCAGGCCGCCATACCCTCGAACTTCCCTGGAATATGTCAGTCGGCACTCCTGCACTTGGGACAGATACTCACTCCGAGACAGGTGCGCCCCACTCTATGCCATTCTGAGATTTGAACGCCTTGTAGTAACAGCAATGTTCACCTATGCCGTCTATGATACAATTCGCACACGCAGCAGCAAACAATGCACGTCCTCGAAATGGTGGCGCGATGACACAGCGTCGAAATGTGGCTGAGACCGAGCATTGAGTGCAAGGATCAACTTCCACGCCCCGGCGATACAATATAGAAGCATCCGCAAAGCATCGGTTGTAGTCGTCCGCCACGTAGTCTTGCCAATCTTTCCTCTCGGTCGTCACAACATGGGCGTTCACCGGCTCCAGGGGCCGTACCACTTCTAGCAGTGCCGCAGTTTCTTGTTGATCGTACTCATCCACATCTTCTGCGTTGAATGTCCGATGGATCTCTACATCATGGAATTAGTATTCGAGTAGAGGCGGTAGGAGAAGAAGTGGACCTTTTTCTGCGTTCTGCCAGCGGCGTTCTGCCTCGGCCACAGTAAGCGACATTTTGAGCTCAGATCGACTTGGGCAAGTCCAGAATTGTAGCGAACCAGATGCAGTGGGGGAAAGGGGGGTGAGAAAGCGAGGGTATTGCAGGGAGAGGGTGCCAGTTGTAGGGTTAGGAGAATGAATGCAGTGAGAGAAGGTGACCTGATGAAAAAGATACACTGTTGAATAGCTGCAAACTCAGTGTGCTATGCTAAGTCGTCTGTAGAAATCAAGTCAGTGTTACTGTTTCTTCATTTCAAAAGACGCGTAGAGCAAGTTTCCTGATAACCAGTGTACCAAATCTTACCTCGCAAGTATCTTGCCTCGAAGTGATTGGTCAAATCAGCAATAGCACTCTCTCTCCAGAGCGGAACTGTTTGTCAAAGATCAAGTATCAATCAGAACTCCCCCAGTATTCGGCTGCCTCGCCGGTGAATGGAGTGCTGCAAGGATGCAGAATATCATCTCCGGTGTTGGAAACTGCTATCATTGAACGGCCTTCAAATTCAAAGCAGAACACAAACCATGTCTTCTCCAGAGTACCCTCCGACGCTGTCAGCCACTTAGAAACTTCTGAAGCTCGGTTCTGGACAAGAGAAGGAAAGAAGGTCCTCAATTAGGAAGTCATCAGAGTCACATGAACCTCGAATCCCAACAACTGCACGCCCCATCGGATTATTTGCTTGTTGCACAACAGTCCAGCCAGCATCCATGTCTTGATCACCACTCAAAAAGATTGCTCGCTTATATCTCTCTCAGGAAACCCCGTTCTTTTATCTTAGTCGCATCTCCTTATCAGAACTTTCATGCCCTTCCCCCTCCCAGCCAGAGTTGAGGCGAATCTCCGGTAGTAGGATAGCAGCAGGAATGGACTCGACCTCCTCCGTTCATACCTTGCCCATTCCTTCGCTTGACCGCTCTTATGGTATTGAATCGTGGCCCTGGTTCACCAGAGCCTTCGAGGCTGCTGTGGGGTATCCAGCCAACAGTTTCCGATTCATCGAGGGCAAGACACCTCTTTCTACGCTGAAGGAAACCTCAACTGTTCTTGTCCTATATTATACGGTGGTTCTGGGAGGACGAAGTTTCATGAGCAACCGAAAGCCATTGCAATTGAAGAGGCTTTTTCTTTTGCACAACTTCTTCCTCAGCATCATCAGTGCCATTCTTCTGGCACTTTTTCTGGAACAGATAGTACCGACCATCGCGAGGAATGGATTGCACTGCGCCATCTGTGATCTCGAGGGTGGTTGGACCAAGCCCATGGTTGTACTATATTATGTATGCCCGACCCAATTCGTCATCTTTCCCGGTGTGCTAATGCGTCGAGACAGTTGAATTACCTGACTAAGTACTTCGAGCTCCTGGACACGGTCTACTTGTTTCTGATGAAGAAGCCTCTCAGTGAGCATAGCCGTCTACTCCACATAGCCAGACGTCCACTCTGACCTGGCCTTATCCAGCGTTCCTGCATTGCTACCATCACGGCGCAACCGTCTTCCTATGCTACACTCAGTTGGTTGGGACTACGGCGATCTCGTGGGTTGTGATCACACTGAACCTAGCTGTCCATGTCATCATGTACTGGTACTATTTCCAGGCCGCGCGAGGAATTCACATCTGGTGGAAAGCCTGGATCACTCGGGGCCAAATCCTCCAATTTGTGATTGCGCTGGGTTCGTCCTGTACCCTTCAACGCTGTTCAGGTAGGACAATGGTACTGACCAGCATGACCCCGCAGGCTTTATCTCCTACGGCTCTTTCTTTGTATACTTCCCTCAGTATGGCTCATGTGTGGGCAGCGTGTTGGCCACAGTCACCGGAAACGTGGTGATCAGCTCGTACCTGGTTTTGTTCGTGTTGTTCTACCTGGCCACATATCGGAAAGACGGCAGGATGCCTAGTGCCCGCGTAGCTGTGCGACCTATAACCCAGGCACCAGCTTCGGTGCCCCATCTGGTTGTGGCTGCTATGTCCAGTGGGCACGATAACCGAATCGAGACAGGGTTGACTGGTGCCGGTGCCCGGGCACGGAAAGTCTAGTGGTGCGGGCGCAGGCTGCCATGGATCAGCGAAGTGACTGAGTGGCAGTCGCGACATTCCACACGTGGATGATATTTCTAGCATTTTTAGCATCGGGTGGCCTTTTGCTGGATACAAAAGCTGTGCTGGTGTCAGTAATCGGAGAGGGTTTCGTCAGGACGACGTTCACATGATCAAGGGCGCGTCTTCTGATCGAGCACTACTCCGCAAGCGGCACTGTCAGTATTCTTATAGAAACATGATAACATCTTTACCATTCATGCAACGAAGCTGAACCATTACCTAGCAATCATCAGAATAATTACGGCTATGACATTTGTTACGGGGTCACAGATAGATTAAAATGTAGTAAATAAAAACAACAATGATAACAAGCCAAACAACCCAAAACAACCCAAACCACCCAAACAACCAGGATATACTCACCTCAGGCCACGACGTCACCGGAACTAGTCCAGACCCGGTTTAGTTGGCGACACCGCCCCGTAAGTTACCCGTCACTACCGATAAGTTACTGCTTGGGTGGTTCAAGAAGGTTAGTTGTTGTTGTCCCGTGGACGGAATCATCAATTCAATCTGGCGCCCGTCCCGGCTTTGGCTCTGGATAGCATCACCACCCATCAACCCAACTATCTGCTCTGAAAGCAGTCTTTCCACTTCTTCTTTCAAACCCCACTTTCTTCTTCCACCCCCCCTCCCCCCTCCCCTTCCCATTCTTCCCTCTGTGAGGGTAGTCTCCCAAGGTAAGTCAATTCATTCAAGGCCAACGCTGGTCTCAAATCTCAACACTCCCAGCTCGCTTCTGGGCCGTCTCCTTTTGACCCTTCCATCCCTCCGTCGCCTCCCACACCGTCGCAATCTCTCCCCCGAGTGCCTGCGACACCGCCCGGCCCCTCCACCAGCACCACCAGTTCACGCACGGTGGTTCCTTCGCTCTTCCGTTGCATGCTCTCGACTCTCGCCTTTTATTTCCATCTTATTCTAATCACTCAACAATCTCCCCGTTGAGTGACCCTCTCCCCCCCTCTGCAGATCTGGGTCTCATTTTGACGTGGTCTCCTGGAACGTGCGTCTCCTACGCCGGCCTCAGCTGCTGGTGCGGGAACCATGCCATCCGTCGACGATTCTTCGGCCACCCGGCCCAACGGCACTAGCTCGAGGTCGGACCAGCTCGCGTACTACAAAGCGCAATATGAACAGCTGGAGGCTGAGCTGTCGGAGTTCCAGGCTTCCAGCCGCGAACTGGAGGCCGAGTTGGAAAAGGATATCGAGGCGTCGGAGAAGCGAGAGCGGCAGCTGAAGGAACGGCTGGAAAACTTGAGATACGAGATTGACGACTGGAAGGTGAGCAACTTTAGAGTTCTAACTGCTTCCCCTGGTTTACCTTTCTGGCGCTCCCTCGTGGGCCAGCTTGGTGACGGTGAACATCGGCACTAACCTTTCACCCCTTGCAGTCCAGATACAAGCAGGCCAAGTCGGAGGCCAGCGCGGCCCAGAATACGCTGCAGAAGGAGATTACCAAGTTGCGCGATGGTAACCGCACCCTACAACTGAAATTGCGCGACATCGAAGTCGCGAACGATGATTATGAACGTCAGGCCCGCCATACCACTTCATCCCTGGAGGATCTGGAGCAGAAGTACAACATGGCGATCGAGCGCAGCGTCCTGCTCGAGGAAGAGGTCAAGAATGGCGAAATGGAGCGTGAGAGCCTACGGATTGAGAACCAACGTCTTCGTGATGAACTGTCGGAGCAGAGAGTCGAGGCCGAGATTCTCTCGGAGAAGCTTCGACACGAACAGAATGGTGGTCGCCGCAGAAAGCCTGCGTCCTTGATCTACCGCACTCCATCAACACCTCAGACACCCGAGATCTTCGACCGTACTCTCAGCGCTTCAACTGTGTCTACTCCTATGTTCCAGACACCGCCGATCAAGAATGCTCTCATGACTGTGACCGCCACTCCTCCTTCGCCACCCATGTCTGAGGCGTCGATCAGTGTCCCGACTAGCATGCGCAAGACTGCCAGCGCCACTCCTGGATTCCCGTTCAAGAAGGCTGGTGGTGGCGCTCAGCTGGGCTCCCGGTCGATGTATGACTCGAAGAAGACCCCAAAGAAGTCTCGGGGTTCCACCTTCAACTCCAACAACGGTCGTTCCAACACAACGACCCTGCCATTTGCGAGCGCGTTTCAGCCGGGGGGCATTAGCACCAATGACCCTACCTCGTCCGCCAGCATCAACAACGACCGGTCCACCACTCTGCCCAAGTCGGGATCCCTTTATCAGATCCGCGGTCTGATCGGCAAGATGCAGCAGTTGGAAGAGCGTGTTCACTCTGCCAAGTCCAAACTCCCGGCACCCTCTGATTCGCCCTCTCGTATCTCGTCGCGGTCTGGATCTATTGTCGGTGACAGTCCAGTCTCTTCGACGATCACTATGCGCCAGAATTCCGCGCGGAAACGAATCAGCGGCAGCAGCTTTAGCTCGTCTGTGCGTGAAGGCGACACAGCCTCATCTTACAACACTCGACCTTCGTTTGGCGCTCGAACTCAGGGCGACAGTCGGCCTAGCAGCCGGACCAGCTATTCCAGCTCCTTCAGCCAGAGCACCCATCCCAGCGTTGCGCCTTCTACTCATTCGGCACGTCCTGAAAGCCGACAGAGTCGTACTAAAACGCCACTGGGACACTATTCGACCAATCCCACCACTGAAAGTCGGCGCCCCCGGTCTTCGCTCAGCAATCCGTCCGTACAGAACGGCCATACAAGCGGCATGTCCAACATTGACGAAGATGAGGACTTGGCGTTCCGAATGTCGGTGCGAGCCAAGATTAGCGAGGCTCGGGAGGCACGCTTTCCGTCATTCTCTACACCCGTCCACACCCCTACCAGCTCAGTGAAGACGGTCAAGAAACGCACGCCTAGCGGGATCCCCGCGCCACCACGAAGCTTCCGCACAAGCACCGGATATGAGCCGAAGACCAATATTGGTGATCTTGGCGAGACCTTCTAGGCCTTTGATAAATTTTTATTCTATTCTCGCAATACCCTTTTTTCCCTTAACCCCGATTGACAATTCCAGAGGGGCTTTACGAAGTTCACGGCCGCTACGCAGGTGTTGATCCCCTTCTACTTATTCCCAGTTGAGAACATTCTTTCCCTCGTTTGTACTTTTTTTTCCCTCTACTACCCTCTTGTGCTCTTCCTCGCTTTCCGTGCGACTACCCCCTTGGCAAGTGACGTTTTTTGAGTTGAGATATTGTGTGTGTGTGTTTCTCGAGAACCTCTTCTTCTGGAAGACATTGCTTGGGCCGGCTCAGAGATATATGATTCAGGCTTATTACAATGCAACTGCCGCGGCGATGCCCTGTATTTGATTACGGGGACGCAAAGACCCGGCCTGTACAGCTGTTGGTGGGAAATGTGACTTGATTAGACTGGCGCATTGACGGACGGATGGATGGATTGAGGATTGTTGTCGGAGCAGAGGGTTGAACTCTGTCTCACGGCGTCCAAGCTGTCACTCAGCACTCTTTGTTTCTTTGACTGTCTGCTATCTGTCTCCCTGTGTATTGAGTAAATTGCCTTTGGCGTTAGAGAATAATACCCAGTGACGGATAGATTTGGTTCTGTGGTGCACCGTATTGGGACCGGCTGTTGTCTGCTTGTTGAGATAATAGAGTGGTCAGCTAGGTTCAGATCTGCGTCACCACATTCTCCTCAGCATGCGGGGAAGGTCTTCCAAGAGTGAATGAATGTGTCGCGGTTCTGGTGATCTAATCACATGATGCGTAGCCATTCACTTCCCCCCTCAATCGGTCAGTCAAGCCATGTTTCCCAGACACAATTCCAACAAATCAAGAAGCCTTTCCAGATGGCCACTATTGGCGGGCAATTCTTGAAATAACCAGTGGAGGGGACAGAAGAAGGGTGTCGTGTCAATGCGTGTCCTCGGATCCAATCCAGTACATATATATTTTCGCCGGGTGGGCTCATCTTTGACCACCCAACAATCCCTTGCTCTCGATGTTTTTGCTCCACTACTCTTACGGTCCACACCTGGTGTCTTGCCTCTTATTTGCCGAATCCGCTGCTGATTGGCAGAGGGGATAGCTCAAGCTCGGTGATTCTACCTAAACAATATCGACCCAGGTATGATCGCAGCTTCTTGTTACACCACCACTGATCATTGAGTTTAATGCTAAGGATCGCCCGCATAGGTTCATGATGTCGTGCTACAACACATACATTATCGTCTTTCCCAATCAATGCCCATTCTCGCCAGCTACAGCTACAGAGCTCACCAAGTATATCAACCGACGGTGGGATTCGAAGTAAGTTCGCGCGGCGGTGCGGCGGTGGTGAGTCCTCGTGCTGGTCCGGGCAACTTGGAACGAACCGACGGCCACGGCCATGCATCGTGGATCTGAATCTGGATTAGCCTTATTTGAGCCTGGGGGAGCCTCTCCTGAGTTGGTCCTAACCACCCAGTCCACGGAGTACTTGATTAATCAGGTAGAGCTTAACTAACTTACTCAGTATGTACTCCGTACTGTAACTACTGTACGTACCCAGGTAGACTACGAACTAACTTACTAGGTACTAACCTGAAGGATTGAAGGAATCTTCAGCCAATGGTCCATCTCCCCGACCTCCGTCAGTCAATCTTACGGGAGATTCGGTGCGTGTTGCAAGTCAAGGGTTGCGTGACGGGGGTCTGGCTCCTTCTGGATCTCCGATGAGGTCCGGATTCGGACTCCGAGAACCTGAAGGAAGTTGTTGGTTATTCTGCCCACGAACTATGGGAACTGCAATCGTTCTGTGCCAAACGCAAGTCTAATCCACCATCCATTGTTTTTGTTTTATTTTTTTTTTCGATGCCATCGTCACCATCATCTCGATCGGGTATCCTCAAGCGGCGGACAATCGAGCCTATCGGATTGCCGTGTGACCCCCAAAGAACCTTACCTTCGGTTCCAGCCAGTTCATCGTGATCATACTCCAGTGTTCGTTGACCAGGACCTACAAGGTAGACTTGGGCTGTGTAGCCCTGTGTTCTTCCACAGGACGGTTCTTCTTGGTCTTGCTCCAATCACCATGCGCGATTCGCAGCCCGGCTAGCGAGGTCCAGCCCCACGTCTGGAACTGGAGGTTCATGTTCGGTCTAGTCGAGTTGAACTGAGATATTTGGTGGCTCTCAGGGAGAGAGAGATTTCCAGCAATTTTCGGTTCTTCGATACCGGCCAACGGGTCTTCACTTGGGTTCCATCATCCATGTCTC